ATATATGTGCATAAATATATATGTTTATATGTGTGTATATATATGGATATGTGTGTATATGTGTGTGTGTGTGTGTGTATATATGTATGTATGCATACATATATATGACAGAGAATTGCCAGGAATACAACCTGGGTTAACAGTTAACAAGATGTTGTGACACTAGAGACCTTATAACCAACGTCAAATGGATCTTGGCAGAAAGCAAAGAGGATCAGAAAAATGTCTAACTGTTTAATTAGCTATGCAAAGGCATTTGACTGTGTGGATTACAACGAATAGTGGCTAACCTTGAGGAGAATTAGAATACCAGAACACCTAATTGTGCTCATGCAAAACCTATACTAAGACCAAAAAGCAATCCTCAGAACAGAGCAAGTAAACACTGCATGGTTCAAAATCAGGGAAGAACTGTATCAAAGATGTGTCCTTTCTCTATTTTTTTTCAATCTCTGTGCAGAACATATCATGTGGGATTCTGGGCTTTAGGAGGAGCAATGTGCCATTATGATTGTGCAGGTGACACAGCTTTGCTTGCCAAAACTGTGGAGGAACTGAAGCACTTGCTGCAGAGGGTAAAGACTGTAGTCTTCAATATGGATTGAAGTTCAACAAGGAAACAAAGATTCTATCTACCCCTGGGCCAGTTGGCAGCACTGTGAGAAGTTGGAGAAGAGATTTAGGTTTTTAACCATTAAAGCTTGCTCAGATCCACAATCAACATCTTTGGCATAGCCAGTAAGGAAATCAAAAGACAAACTGCTCTATGAAAATATGCTCTAGAGATTTACTGAAGTGTCTTCTCCCAAGTACTGAGAAACAATGATGTCAGTGTAGAGACTAAGATATATGTGATCTGTGCTATGATCTTCACAACTACTTGCTATGCATTCGTGAGCTGGACAATGACTAAGGATGACAGAAGAAGAATCAATACCTTTGAGTTATGGTGCTGGAGTAGAGTCTTGAACCTACCGTGGACCAACAAGAAAATAAATAAGTCAGTCGTGGAGAGGGTGAAATCAGGGTTCTCCTTGGAAGCAAGGATTTTGAGAAAAGGTAGATAGTGAGCAAAAAAGAGGAGCCTCTCCTGTAGTGACTGGCACAGTTACTCCTGCTGTGGTTATAAGCATGGCGGAGGTTGAGAGAATGGTGCAAGATATGGTAAGGTGTCACTTGGTTTGTCACAG